TCTCTCTCTCTCTCTCTCTCTCTCTCTCTCTCTCTCTCGTTCGTTCAACGTGTTTTTGAGCAAACAACAACAACGATGACGACAAAAACAGTCAAACCGTAAATAAAAGCAATTCACAGATATTTCAATTTTAAGTGGTTCATTGTAATGTGCGCTCGGCGGTTTTGCACTGTGATGTTACTGCTTTGGCTGCTGCTGATGATGAGACACCGAATTAAAGTCGGTGCTGTCGTTGATTCAGATTGTATTTAGTTTCAAAGAGCCAAGTTTCAAAGTCATCGCACTCGCGTTCATTTTCTCTCTCTCTCTCTCTCTCTCTCTCTCTCTCTCTCTCTCTGTCTTGCTCCCTCTGTTGGAACTCGATCCGTTTTTGACATTTTTCCATTTGTTACTTTTATTGCGGTAAATTAAATCAAATTGTTTTAAATCACTTTACATATTTTGTTTAACCAGAAATATTGTGTCTATTTTGGAAAACAACTTCGAGTGTCTCTCTCATTTGTATTAAATTGAATTGAAAACAAAGTAACTTCATTACCAACTGACTGTCTTTTTTCAAAATGTTAAATAAATTGTGTGTTTTCACCTGGGAACACTGGATAAATTAGCCAACGACACATTTTTTGAATTCCTTTTCAATCAAGTAGCCACTCTAACAGAGACTGTGATGCGTTCTATTAATTGACCAGTTAAAAATCCATTGAATATACAAAAGCATATTAGATCTGTTTCATTTTTCTACGGTCAAATAATCACCCAAAAAACGCCACCTCTTTTTGCTGCTCCTATTCCGATTCGAGGGAGAATAAATTGGTCACATTAAGCGCGACCGTAAACACAAAATTAAGCGCATTAATTTACGTTTTTCTCACCGGCGTTTGAGGTAAACATTTGTGTGATTTTTTGTTTGTTGACTTGATGAAACATTTCTTAAATTGCATGACAAATGCGGGACGTCTTATTTACGGTGCTCATCGCTTTTGTTCAATTTCTTTCATTCACTATCACAAATCATCGCGTTTTTTTCCACCAAAAAAACTGACTTTTTTCTATTCTTATGCAAAAAAAAATGTGTTCGATCCGATTCTACGATAAATTATTTGTTTTGTGTACGGTTCTCATTGTTTTTGTTTGCTTGAAAAGAAGACGTTAAACCGAGATTGCTCAATTTTCATCGAGAAAAAAAAACAATCTAAACGAATAGCGGAAGAGTGGCCGTTTTTGGCCAGGCATCGTCCAATTTTTGGTTGATCCGAAAACAAAAGAAGAACAAGAACGAATGATCGACTTGTGTAAATCTTGTTGTGATCTTATACAATAGAAAATTACGCTTTAATTCCTTTTCAACAAACTTTAATTTGGCATGTTTTTCTAACCGAAGCAATTTTCGCCTCGGTCAAGCATCTTCTCTATGCGGCACTGAGCCGAGAGAGAGCGAAATAGAGAAGGAGGACGATGGAATGAGAAAGATGAAGCGAGACGTGATCGATAAAAGTGAAGTGCTATGTAGATTTTATGTTAATTCATGCGCTCGCACTGAATGATTTGCTTCAATGGATTTAATTAGAAATTCATCGAAAAAAAAGTTTCAGCTTGCCTGCATGAACTCTCTCGTCATCTCAAAAAGACAAGTGCATTCGCTGTGAAGCGCAAACAAGAGAAAAAAAGCCCAGCTTTTCTTCGAACAATGGGACAACATCAACTCAAATAGAAAAAAAAATCACTCAATTGGATCTAATTTGAAATGTATAACAAGCTGTAACTAACTCTTGTAATTAGTCGATAAATAATCGATTTCGTTTTTTCTCGATCTTGGCGTGTTTTTTCTACTCATTTTGCCTCGTTAGAGGCTTGTTAAACAGGCCACGTTACTGCTATGTGATTTCT